CTAACAAACTTACTATCCAGGACCAGATAAGGAACATGTTATACATTTACAAGACCTCAAGTTCACAAGATTCCAGGTTGGGACTCAGCGTGGAATATGATTCAACTCCTCAGAGTGGAAGGAAAAGCTGAGGGACCAGGTTCCTACCAGTTCCCGAGGAGACTGTACAAAGTCAACTCTGCAGTTGGAAAGTTGCTGCTTGCACACGTTACTGTGCATAACAGCGCTGCGGTCAACTTTCCAGAGAAGAATACTTACTATGATGACCCGGCCATTCGTCTCATGAGTTACCACTCCGTTTTTCCCATTTCTGCTTCTTTATGCTTTGTTTATCCGTGTTATGTGATATCGGGTTGGTCGGATCGAATCCAAAAGGAATTTGGTAAGGTTTGAGACACTTAGTCTTTTTTAAGAAAGTTTAAGTTGGAAAAGTCAACCGGATGTTGACTTCTGTGTTAGAGGGCTCAGATGTGAGTTTTGATGGTTCGGTTAGTTTCGGGAGGTGATATGGGATTTAGGAATGTCATCGGAATGAGTTTTGGAGATTCGAAGTAGATTGAGGCTTGAATTGGCGAAGTTGATATTTTGGCGATTTCCGATTGGTAGGTGAGATTTTGATATAGGGGTTGGAATGGAATTCTGAGAGTTACAGTAGCTCTGTTGTGTCATTTGCGATGTGTATGCAAGATTTCAGGTCATTCAGACGTGATTTGATTGGGTTTTTGATCAAAAGCGGAATTTGGAAGATTTTAGAAAGTCTAGCTTGAATCCGATGTGTTTTGGGTGATTTGATGTTATTTGAGGTGTTTTGATGATTGGAACAAGTTTGAATAAGGTATTAGGATGCGTTCGTGCCTTTGGTTGAGGTCCTGGGGGCTTCGGGTGAGTTTCAAGGGGCTGAACGGATCATTTTGGAGTTAAAACAAATTGCAGAAGTTGCATGTTCAACTGTTGCAGGTTTTTACTCTTCGCATTCGCGAGTGGACCCTCGCGTTTGCGAAGAGTCAGAGGAAGTTAGTGGAATTTTGGCCTTCGCATTCGCGAGAAGGGTCTCGCATTCGCGGAGGGCTGGAAAGTGATGCATCACGCGTGAAGGGCTTCACATTCGCGTAGAGGAATTAGGTCAGCTAGATTTAAAGGTCAATTTGTTCATCGCGTTCGCAAGAAGGGGAGCGCGTTCGCGAAGGTTCGTCTAGGTAAAGCATCGCGTTCGCGAGGGCTTGGTCGCGATCGCGTAGGAGAAAAATTGGTCAAAGTAAATCTGTGCTTCGCGAACGCGAGGGTTTGACCGCGTTCGCGAACAAGGAATAAATGCCTGGGCATAAGGTTTTTAAACTCGTATTGTCCGCGATTTTGGGGCTTATTTCCTTTATAGTCGGTCATTTTTGGAGATTTTTAAAGGAGATTGAAGAGGGATTCAAGGGGGAATGTGAGCACTTGATTTTTACCCTATATGAATTACTCCCATAAATTCAAGAAAACAAATTTCTTTTCATTATTTGCAATTTTATGAATTTTTATGGCATTTTCTGTTAATGGTTTGTATTTGTCTGTGCATTTTTATTTAATTAATAAAAAATACAAAAATACTTTGAATTTGCATTTAGGATTTAATTTTACATTTTTAGATTAATCAACAAGTTAGTTGTTTTATAAAAAAAAAGTCACAAAAATAGTTATTTTGCACCTTTTAATTGTAATTTTAATTTTAATTTTTGAATAGTTTTTCTTTAATTTGTTAATTGTGGTAATTATTTAGGCTAATTTGGTTTTATAACTTAATTTAGTATTTTAGTTTTAATTTTTTAAAAAGAAAAATAAGAAAAGAAAAAGAATTAATTTTGAACATAAAAAAAGAAGAAAAGGAATTAATTTGAAAAGAAAGAAGAGGGAATTGAAGAAATGGATTTTTGGGCGAAGTCTTTAGAGTTTGCCCAGGCCCAAACATTCACCCCCTGAAACCCGTTTAGCATGGCCCCAAACCCGCACCATTACCCGGTCCCCACCCCTCACCTCCCAAACGACGCTGTTTAGTGCAAGTGTGATCCCAACCATCTAGGTTTGCCTAATCTAACGGCTCAGAAGTGAGGGACACTTAATATATAAGTGTCTGAATCGTCTCCCCCCCTCTCAATCGTCTCTCTTACAACACCCCACCTCAGAGACCCCTCCAAAACCTACCCGCCGCCCCTCTTCTCCATCATCATAAACCTGGCGGCGCCACTGTCACGCCCCAAAAACCGAGGGGTGCAACCGGCGCTCGACCGGGTAGCCCCCAGCCAAGCGGACCTGGGTGCCCTTCCTATTCCACGTGATACCCTGCATTTCCATTACCCCTTTAACCAAGTGAAATAGCCATTTATAAATTTAAACACATTCTTATGAGATTTACATAACATACATAGTTACTTAGCATGGTCTACAAGTTATACTGCCCAAAATACATAAGTATATAACCCGCATTTCCTGTCTACGGAGCCTCTAGAGATACAAAAGAGTGTTACAATACTTGCCGGTAACAAGGCTCCGGCTATACCTTACGCAAATACCAAAATAAAATTTTTGGGAGGTTAAGCGGCATAAGCCATGCAGGGCCCCGAGAGGAAAGGGGCTCACCAATTCAGCTGACGGGAGGTGAAGGAGTGCTACTGTCAGTGGGCTGGAGTACCTGTTATGGAACCACCTACAATCATAACACGAATGTAGCACCCCCCGGCAAAAGGGACGTCAGTACATTTGAATTGTACTGGTATATATGAACAAACTTTACCCCAAGTAAAATCAAGAAATATACAGATAACAAACAGTAATAGAATCAACAATCAAATGCACATGAAAGGAACAAACAAAACCAAACAAACTCCACAATCTCTCCTTTTCCCCTTTCAACATTATTTCATCACATCAATGATTTCACAACTTTCACATATTTTTTATTTCAATAGTGATTTTGATCACTTTTCCACCCTTATTACCTCGGCCACCCTTATTACCTCGGCCACCCTTATCACAACAACCCACACCTTATTACTTCGTGTTGCGGCACACAACCCGATCCCACCGGACAATCATATTTCACACAACAACAACAACAATTCACAAAGAGTGTTCATAAGCATCAATACCAATTCCAACATATACAATAACCCGTACACAATTCAAGTCACAACGATAATTGCCCATAACAAGTCACGTATGATATTGCCACTGTTGTTTCAATTACGATTTCTTTCCATCGTTTGTCACACAGCTCTTACCACGTAACACATTCATACCTACACGCACTTGTGTTATTGCCATTTTACTCACACTACTATAACGGAAAACTTAACCAACAACGTTCAAGGCATATTAGTCACAAGAATTTCACAAATAGTCCACATAAGTAACACATACCAATTACTCATACACCAACAAGGTGACTTTACAAAGGTTAAAGTTAGCCTTACATACCTGGAGTCGAATTCCCTTTTTAACTTCTACTTTCAATACACCAACAGCCTAGTACCATCAATCTAGTTCACAAGTTAACACATATAACTTAGAATTGAAGTTCACAAACTCAACCCGAACTTACTTAGGTTATCAACCCCTCTTTTGCAAATCTTTACTTCTACCCAATTGCTCTTACTAGATACTAGATTTTAAAGGACATGCATGTGTATTTCAACTTCCATTTTCAAGAATCAACGCATGAGAATCCCCCTTTTTATTTAAATCTGAAAACAAATGAAGAAGGGTTGGGGATTTTACCTGCAAGAACGGAGATGAAGATAATTACTTGAAATTTCCCGGCCTGGATGACTTTGAAAAATCAAATTGATGGAGATGAGACTTTCTCTCTCAAGAATTCTCTCTTCCCTCTCTCTAGTTTTGTTCAGAAAATAGGTTAAAATGAGGGGTTGGGGTGTTTTATTAAAGAAGGGGTCGGGTTTAAAATTTAGAAAAATAGGAGCCGGAGTTAGGTATGCGATCGCACTTTGCGATCGCAGAGTGGAAATGCGGTCCGCAGAATGGACCGCAAAAGTGCTCCCAAAATCTGAACACACTGCCTGGGTATGCGGCAGAAATGCGGTCTGCATACTCGTTCTGCGGTCGCATAATACACCGCAGAACTGCCCCTCTCAAAAATCCAAAGGGAAATATGTGACGACTATGTGGTCCGCATATCGGTTATGCGGTTGCATATCGGACCGCATATTTAACCTCAAATTCGACCAACACACTGACTCATTTTGCAGCGATTATGCGGTCCGCATACCTGATATGCGACCGCATTCTCGACCGCAGAATCACATTTTTGGAAAACAGTATTTCTTGACTTTTTATAGCATAGATCAGTACAAAAGATCCGAACTGCAGCGAGCAAGCTCGCCGCGAAGAATTTTACACATTCCTAACAAATATTCGGGACTTGTCACCACGAGCTACCGGGTTTTGAGTACTAGTTTTCATGAGGCCTTACATCCTCCCCCACTTAAAATCATTCGTCCTCCAATGAGGATTTTGGAAATCGGTTGGTTTTGAAAACATGATATGCAAACTCCCAATTTTTTTTTGAAATATTTTGCCAGAGTTTCCTTTGTAATTAGACTTATCTACATGTCAGAGAGCCCCCGAAACATTATTTCCAAGCACCATTACGCTATTCCTATTATCCCTACAACTGGTATACAAATCATTACCTCAACACCTGCACATAATTTGGTCACTTCAATGAGTCCCATACAGTTCAACCACTTCAATACACTATACGCATTTCAATTAATCATTACCAATCTACACTACCTTTAATCATTCACTTATCACATTAGTTCTTACAAAACTTTCATTTACCAAAAAGGGGCTTGCGCATGACTCAATTAATCACAACACATACAATTCTTGCACAACTTGAGGAGTTACAATAGTAAAGCATTTAGGGAAAAATATGGGTTGTCTTTGCACCAGATTGAACACGACATCAGTTTACTTAGAGACAAGAGTTCGCACGATCACTACTAGACTTGTTCAAACAGATGGGGATATTTTTCTTTCATTTCACTTTCCGCTTCCCACGTGGCTTCCTCGACTTGTTGACTTTGCCATAGCACTTTAACTGAAGCAACTTCCTTGTTTCTCAATTTGCGGACTTGCCTATCAAGAATAGCGACCGAAATTTCTTCATATGATAACTCTTCATTGACCTCGATTGGAACGATGGTGGATGGGTCTCCAACCACTTTCTTTAACATAGACACATGGAACACCGGGTGCACTAATGACATTTCAGGGGGCAATTCCAGTCTATAGGACACCTGTCCTATCCTTTGAGTGACCCTATACGGCCCGACATATCTAGGACTCAACTTCCCTTTCTTCCCAAATCGCATGACTCCCTTCATAGGAGATACCCTCAATAACACCCAATCATCTACTCGGAATTCCAATTTTCTTCGACGAATGTCCGCATAAGATTTCTGGTGACTCTGAGCAGCTTTTAGCCTTTCCTGAATGATTTTAACTTTTTCCATAGCCTGGTGCACGAGATCTGGCCCTAACAATTCTACTTCACCCACTTCAAACCATCCAATCGGAGACCTACATCTCCTCCCGTACAATGCCGCAAATGGGCCCATCTGAATGCTAATATGAAAGCTGTTATTGTAAGAAAATTCTATAAGTGACAAGTAATCATCCCAATTACCTTTGAAATCCAAGACACAAGCCCGTAACATATCTTCAAGTGTCTGAATAGTCCGCTCCGCTTAACCATCAGTCTGCGGATGGAAAGTCGTGCTGAGATTCACCTGAGTACCCAAACCTTGCTGAAATTTCTTCCAAAAATTAACTGTGAACTGGGCCCCTCGATCTGAGATAATATAGAGTGGAGTTCCATGAAGCCTTACTATTTCCTTGATATACAATTGAGCATATTGTTCCGCAGTATCCGTGGACTTGACTGGCAAGAAGTGAGCTGATTTGGTGAGTCGATCCACTATTACCCAAATTGAGTCAAACTTTTGCTGAGTGCGAGGTAACCCTACCACGGAATCCATGTTGATCATCTCCCATTTCCACATTGGTATTTCCATAAGCTGAGTTAACCTACCGGGCCGCTGGTGCTCAGCTTTTACTTGCTGACAATTCAAACATTTAGACACAAAGTCCGCCACACCCCTCTTTATACCGTTCCACTAATAAATTTTCTTGAGATCACGGTACATTTTCGTAGAACCTGGGTGCACAGAATATCTGGAATTATGAGCCTCCGCCATTACCCTCCCCCGAAGATTATCCACATCTGGAACACATAGCCTACCTTGACATTGTAATACACCATCCTCACCGCCGAGTGAAAATGTCAAAGTCTTGTTATTCAAAAGTGCCTCCTTCATATGTGTTAATGCTGGATCAACGAGCTGCTTTTCATTGACTTCTGCTACCAGTGATGATTCTGCTCCATTACGCACCATAACCTTCCCCTCGTCTGAGGTCGAAATACGAACCCCCAAATTGGCCAATTGATAAACCTCCCGAACCAAAGGCCTCTGATCTGCTCCCAAATGAGCCAAACTACCCATGGACTTCCGACTGAGAGCGTCGGCCACCACCCCCTGGATGGTATAAAATATCCATATCATAATCATTGATCAATTCTAACCACCGCCGCTGCCTTAAATTCAACTCCTTCTGCTTGAACAAATATTGGAGACTCTTGTGGTCCAAGGACACATCCACATGGACCCCATAAAGATAATGCCGCCATATTTTCAAGGAAAATACAACTGCCGCAAGCTCCAAATCATGCGTCGGATAATTCTTCTCGTGATTCTTGAGTTACCTTGAAGTATACGCTATAACCTTCCCATGTCGCATCAACACACACCCCAAACCGACCCTGGAGGCATCACAATAAACCACAAATCCTTTCGTGC